CAAAGCTTCGGCATTCACGTTTATTTAAGAGTGCGTTACAACACCAAGTTGTGAGTTTTTGATTCGACTGATAATTATTTATCTTGTCTTGTAATATTTTATTTATTTATTTAGATTAATTATTCAATTTCTTTGCTTTCTTGTTTAGTCGGATGAGAATTTATCTGATCTTTGGGAACCATTGTCCAACCAAGGGTGGAAACCGTTTGTTGAATCAACAGTCACTTCTTGTAAGCAATTTTTGAATTTTGACACAATTTAAATAAACTTAATATTTTTGTTCATATGTTTAAATTTTCTAATTGGTTGATTTATAAACTTAAGCATCAATGCCGGAGTCTTCCGGATTCATCCAAGTGTTCCTTGATGGAGGATTGAACCAACAAAGAATGGGGGTATGTTTTGTACATTTTTCAAACTAAAAGGTTCATAAACGTATGATATTTTCATTTATTCAAATGAAAATCACATTGCATATTTTTATTAGATATGTGATGCGGTTGCCATTGCAAAAATCCTCAATGCAACACTCGTGATACCGTATCTTGAAGTGAATCCGGTTTGGCAAGACACAAGGTATTTTTTTACACCATAAGATTCTATCCACAAAACATTTCAATTTCAACATTTAAATTATTTAAGCTAATGTCTTTTTACTCATGTGTTTAAATTTGCAGCACTTTCGAGGATATTTTCGATGTCGATCATTTTGTCAATATATTAAAAGACGATATATCGATAATTAGAGAGTTGCCCGATGAATATGCATGGAGCACAAGAGAATATTACGCTTCCGCCATTCGATCTACCCGAGTTAAAAACGCACCTCTTCATGCTTCACTGAATTGGTATCTCGAAAATGTCTATCCCGTTTTAGAAAGGTTGGTATTTTTTTTTTACTTTTTTTTCTTCCTAATTACATACCTTAGAATAAAAGATTTACTAATCACATGATTATACTCTAATGACATTTTTTTTTTAGTTATGGGATAGCGGCAATTTCACCATTTTCACATCGATTAGCTTTTGACAACATGCCAATTGAAATCCAAAGGTTACGTTGCAAAGTGAACTTTGAAGCATTGGTTTTTGTTCCTCATGTTAGAAGTCTTGGTGAGGCACTTGTGAGTCGTTTGCGGTACCCGATTGTTGAAAGTATCGATGCAGTCTCCGGGACCAAATACATTCGACAAGTTGTTGATACCAAAAGTGGCCATGGAGCCGGCAAGTTTGTCTCCCTACACCTTCGCTTTGACAAGGTACTGTCGTCTGACTGTCTGTGTCTGGATAAAGTGTTGTATGCATAAAGTCTGTTTCTTTTCCAGACCGTCTGAGAACGAGACTAAATGACCATTTTACACTTACATTCCAAGTTTCCAACAAAAGTTTGTCACAATAATCATTAAGTTTAAACAATATTCGTGAATTTTAACATGAAAGGGGTTTAGAGGAAAAAAAATAAGGGAAAATAGGTAAAGGATTAGTGTGTTAATACATTAAGCCATGTTTTTTGGATTAACCCATTAAGTCATTCTGTCTAGATTTAGTCAATGAAACAACCATGTATAATTGTCTAGATTAAGTGATTAACTCACCAAGCCCATTAAGTAAAAAGAAACATCCCCCTCAAGATAAATTATGTTAATCTCAAAAAAGACCTTATACTTTTTGTTTTTTTTTTTCCGAATTAAACCTCATCTTTATTTTTTCATGAATATGACCTTGTATTTTTTCATTTTTTCCGAGAAAACCCTCAACTTTGTCTTTTTTTTTTTTATTTTTTTTTTTTTTCCGAAAAAACCATCAACCTTTTAAATGTTTCCAAATAAATCCTCAACTTTTTTAGTATTTCCTGAAAAAACCCTCACATTTTACAACTTTTTTAAAGAAAAATGACTAAAAGGGTCAGATCGGAAAAAATGAAAAAATGCAAGGTTTTTTTCTTGAAAAAAATAAAGTCGAGGTTTAATCCAGAAAAAAACACAAATATAAGGTCTTGTATAAGATTAACCCTAAAACATACATGAGAAAATGATGACACCATCTTGGGTAAGGGAAGGAAAAAGTACAACGAGGGTAGGTAGGATACCACTTTCTTTATTAACTCGTTCTTTCTGCATTAAGTAAAAAAGAAACAGTCACACATATATAGCTTACCAGATTAAGTTATGTCACAACTCTAGTAATGCTAACATAATTATCTATTCTTAGGATATGGCTGCTCATTCAGCATGTGATTTTGGTGGAGGAAAAGCCGAAAAGTTGGCTTTGGCTAAATATCGCCAAACCATTTGGCAAGGAAGAGTCATGAACTCCCGCTTCACAGACGAAGAGTTAAGAAACCAAGGAAGGTGCCCATTGACACCCGAAGAAATCGGATTATTACTTGCCGCTTTGGGTTTTGACAATAACACCCGTTTATATCTCGCTTCACATAAGGTCCGTATATATACACTTCATTTTGATATCATATTATCAAAGGGTATTTTCGGCATTTGACTTTTGTATATACAACAGGTGTACGGTGGAGAAGCTAGGATCTCAGCCTTACGCCAACTCTTCCCATACATGGAAGACAAAAAGAGCCTCGCCTCGTCAGCAGAGCGGGCCCAAATAAAAGGGAAAGCTTCTTTATCGGCTGCTGTTGATTACTATGTTAGCATGCGTAGTGATATCTTCATCTCTGCTTCCCCTGGAAACATGCACAATGCAATGGTAAACAACTAATAACTAATAACGAATAATTAAGTTGTTTTTTTTGTTTTTGACTTAATGGGGAGATGACTTAATATGATAGGTGGGACATAGAACATACCTAAACTTGAAGACGATAAGGCCAAACATGGTGTTATTGGGTCAGATTTTCATGAACAAGAGCATGAGTTGGGTGGATTTTCAAGAAGCGGTGGTGGAAGGGCAAAGAAATAGGTCAGGGGAGATAAAGGAACGAAAACCAAAACAATCAATATACACGTATCCTGTTCCTGATTGTGTGTGTCAACAATTGGGTGTGTAATTTTGTTGTCGCACATATTAATTGTTTATGGGTTGTTGTGATTACTTGAAATAAGGCGTGTTAATTGTTACTTGAGAGGTTTGGTGTTATACTGTATTCTTCCCACGTGAGTGTTGTATGTTGATAGGGTTTAGTGTTGTATGTGTTTACTGGGGATATGATACTGATACGTAAGGTTATACTGTAATTTAAACGATTGAGTTCTTATGCTCATGTTATGTATGTATGTATAATATTTAGTTGTATACTACAATGAAAATTTTTGCTCATGTAATTTTTATGTATTGTCTTCTTCTGTCTTTATGAATTTCTTCTTTGAGAGTCTCAAGTGACTTCCTAAAGGTGTGTTTCTTCCATTTGCATCTTCAATAATGAGTTTCTCTAAAACTTTATTGATGTACTTTTCTTGGAAAGCTTCAAATAAGTTAAATCCGACATACCCATTGATTTGATGTGTGGTTTATATATTGTTGTGGTCTTGATTAGATTTGTAACAATCCTTCCAACTTCCTTTAATACGGTAAAATGAATATCATATTTCATGTTTAATAATATGAGGCAAGTTGGTTCTTGAGAACAATGTGTTATAAAAAAATATAAAAGATAAAATTCGGCTAAACAAATTTAGTTTTTCTTCTTGAAAGAAAGAAAGAATCATATGAGATTAAAGCATGTCATACAAAATTGCAATATTGTAGTGTACCACCTAAATTTATTCTTGAGTAAATTATAGAAATGGTCCCTATATTTTATTCGTAGTTTTGGTTTCTAAGTTTAAAAACTGATAGGTTGTATCTCCGTGGTTTATGAATATTGCAGTTTTGATCATTGCTTTATATAAAAAGACTAATTTAGCCTTCTTTTTTCTTTTTCTTTTTCTTTTAACAATTTATTATTATTATTATTATTATTATTTATTATTATTATAAAGCAAGGACCAAAACTGCAATATTCATAAACCGTATGGATACAGCCTATCAATTTTTAAACTTACAAACCAAAACTACAAAGCTTACCAAAACACATGAACCATGTTTGTAATTTACTCTTTATCCTTAATTGTGATTAAATAATTATAATAGAGTTTAAATAATTATTTGAAATGTTGGGAGTGAAGTCTTAAAAACCGAAGTTTGGATTGTTGACATTTCAAGATAAGGTATGTGGCTTTGACATAATATTCTTTAACTCTTTGTATGATCTTAATTGATTAAATAATTTAGATTGGGTCAAATAGAATCACAATGAGTCACTTTGATTCCGGCTCAACCCAACCTATTTATTTAAATAAGTTGTGGTTTCAATCCAATTTAACTTATTAAACAAATTGATTGTTATTGGGTTGACCCATTTATTTATTTAACAACCTAATTTATTAAATAAATTGGTTGAACTCTGATTAACCAATTTAAAACTAAAAAATGTAATAAATTGAAATTTTTTTTAACCAACTTAACCAACTTAAATAAAAAAACATGAACACTCTGATATATAATATTGTACTTACTACTGTAAAGTAGGATGAAGTTAGAAAACGAGGTGTGATCTGTAAATCAAAGAAAGCCAATGTAATTATGTAAGTGTGAAGAGAGAGATAAAAAAAGATAGAGGTTGTCAAACTGCGGGAGTCAAATAAAGAGCATGATAGGCTCAGGGTCGACAATTCCGGTTGGGCTATATGATGCATAATTAATGAGTGAAGTTTAGAGTTAGTGTAGTATTGTCGATACAAAAGTTAGAAATGAGAATTACAATTGTAATTTTTTTTTAAAATAAAGAATAATATAACATTATAATTAAAAAATTAAATATATAATAATTTATATAGGTTGGAAGGTTGAAAATAGGTTGACGACTTTTACCGAACCTAACCCATTTAATTAGATGGGTTAGACAAGATCCATTTAAATTAAATGAATTAAAAATCTTAACCCAACATAATAATTTTGGATCGAGTTCGGATTAAATCGGTGGGTTAGGGTTTTGTCACTTGTTGTCGCTCTATGATCAAATTAGAAGTATAGAGCTTGATTTGTTAAAACATTCTCCACTAATATATTTGCAAAAAGAATGAAAGTTGAGGGAATTTTACAAGTGAGGAAACTTTAAAAGACACAAGTCTTAGTTGTGTTTTTCCATTTATTTGCACGATTTTAAGAGGTGAATAAAGCAGAGAGTTTCATTGTTTTCAAGGAGAAATCGATTTGGAAATGAGAATTGTGATTCCTTTCCACCTTTTTCTTTGAGTTTTTTTATTTTATTTTATTTTATTTATTTTTTATAATTCAATAAAGGAAATGAAAGAAATATTAACAGAAAGAAAGGAAGGGGAAAGAAAATTTTCCTTATTCTGTGTTTCCGATTTCGAAGGAATTGAAAAGAAAATTTTAAATATTTATGTTCCCGAATTAGGAGGGAAAAGAAAAGAAAACTAAAAGATTTTCCTTCTCCTCACTTTGTTCTAAAATACGTCTAATTTGGAGGAAAATATGGTCCCAAAATCTTTTCCTTCCCTCACTTTCCTTCCATCAATTTCTGGGAACACGATTTTCCCTCGACATCCTTCACTTTCCCTTCATATCCATCCATATCTCTCGTTAAGTAGAACTCGGGAACAAGGCATTCAAGTTTGAGCATCAATTCGAAGTAGTGAAGCTTTTAAGGTAATATCCTTGTTCATTTGAAAAGGTGGGTGGATGCGATTAGGAGGTAGAGCAGATAATTAAGGTGATAAAGAAGAGATGGTTGCCGGTAGAGAGGCGATTGACGAGGGAAGAAAAGAGATGTGTTAGGAAGTAAAGAGGATAACTAACAAAACCAAAAGTACACAAGACACAATATTTACGTGGTTTCGTCAAGGTGACTTACGTTCATGGGCATGATGAAAATATTCTTTATTTTAGAGTTTTCAAATAGAGATTAAAAATACAATTTCACAGAGATTCGTCTATCACTCTAGAATACAAGACACATCAAATGACAATGCAGGAATCCCTATTTATAGTAAAGATATCAGACCTAAAACCATAATGGGCCAAACCCATTGACCCATAAGACTAATAATGATGTCAACTATAACGTCCCAAAAATACGAACTAAAACTTTTATTTTAAATAAGTTAAAACCATTCATATATTATCTCAAAAGAAGATTAGAGTATAAGTATTCTCAAAACATCATAGTAAATCATAAATAAGGATTACGGAATAAAACTTTAGGTGATGCAATGCGATCAAGCTAGACCCTTGTTTTTAAAAGTGGAAAGTACCTGAAAATGTTTAAACCACAAAACCGTAAGCACAAAGGTTAGTGAGTTCCCTAAAATACCGCATACCATACTTATATGTCACCTCAAGGATATACCGAGTTTATTTTAACTCATATGTCAACACAAGGCTGTACTAGGTCTATTTCACCCTATATATATATATATATATATATATATATATATATATATATATATATATATATATAGCAAACAGGCACACAAGCATACAACACATACACCAGGAGTTATAAAGAGTACACGCACATACAACCCCTAGTATCCTACAGTATAGTGAGGAAACTTACTTGTGATGGGTTTTAGCCATAAGAACTTTCCTATGTGCGCATGCAAAACCCTAATGCTTGGATCTAGGCTTTCTAATAACCATGCTTTTAAATCCAAGACTTATAATGGCTAATTAGGTTAAATAACAATATTGAAACAGATCTAGAATCATACCTTTGAATTCCTTGTTGATCTTGTTTGTCTTGGAGCTTCTAGAGTCACAATTGTCACTCCTCTAATGGCTTACAAACACCAATAGCAAGCAAGATGATTTAGGAGAGAGGAGAGGGGAGGAATTCGACCAGAGGTTCCTTGCTTAAGGTTGTATGTCGAACTCCCTCATCCATTGGGTCTATTTATACTATTAGACTCCTTAAGGGTTTCACCCTAAACCCTAATTGGATAATCTTCTCTTAAGGCTATCCAAATCCATTCCATAGATAACCCTATGGACGATTTGAGCTATCCTAAAGCTCTTAGAATCCGTCCAAGGTATATCCTAATGGATTTATAGTCTAAAGTCTAACTATCAAACAATTGACAGTTTATACCCTCTTATTTAATTAATCTCTTTAAGTCACCAAATTAATACCAATTAATTTATGACTTATATTAATCAAATAGCCAAATATTATTCCTTATAATATTTACTCTCTCTTAACAAATCATCCTTCAAGTTGCTATGGTGAAGGCAACCCAAAAGGACCATGCACAACCGAATATAGTTATAGCCTTAGACACTATTCCAACAGTCTCCCACTTGGATAAGTCTAGTAACTATACAAGTACAATACGGTTTGCAATCGTAGCTCTCAAAGACGCTGTCAACTCTGATCTAATCAATCTTGTCCTTTAGATAAGGGATCGTACAGTCCTCTGTTAGATATCATGCTGACAATCCTATGGAATGGTTAGTCTAGCATTTAGATTTCTCGATCTCCGATTTATTTGACATAGAACTTAATCGAACACATCAATTCAGTTCTGACCGGGCCCGGCACATAAGTCAAATCAAATCATCGAGTGGCCAAGATATCTCTTCTACCCTCTTAGGATAAAATTTACAGATAAACTTCGACTTATATGCATTTACTTATTCATTAACCAACTATACACAACAATGCGTTTTATAACATCAAGTTACTGATGCGTTTTCGCATTATCAATGCACAATCAATTAACAAATAATAAACCATATATCTAGGTTTTAAGACCATATGATATTATCGTCTTGCGATCACCTTTTATATCGTATTCCATAAGGTGATTCCAGCAAGCGCGGGTTTATTCCAATGCTCAAAACCAGTTCATAAGCACTCATGAACGTTGCAGCAACCCTTGCTATGTCTAACACCATTTAGACATTCTACACACCAATTCATGACAATCTTCATTCATATCTACTCCCAACATATGAACGATTGTGGACCATTTGAATAATTCGATTATTCCTAATAAACTCAATTATTCTGGAAGTCAAAACATGCAAAGTGAAACAATAGTTAAACAATTAACATGTGACAGTAACTTTACTCATAAATAAAACTCCTTTATTTAATCATCAAATGTTAATTACATTTATCTATTATACGTTTCTAATACTATCTAATCTATGCTAATATCATCCTTCAGCCCAATACTCCTAGCATGCTGCAAGTGCTTAACCCTACTCAGTCCCTTCGTAAGCGGATCTGCTGGGTTATCTTCTGATGATATCCTCTTCACTACGAGTTGTCCTTCTTCTACACGATGTCTAATGAAGTGATA